AAGGAAGGAAGGAAGAAAGGGAGGAAGGGAGGGAGGGAGGGAGAAAGAAAAGTACCCCATTGCAATATGTCCAGTATCAATGCATAGATTGTCTTCTTGGTTGTTTGGTGAACTACGGGCTGAATTCTGCTTGTGACTTTTTTTTTTTTTTTTTTTTTTGCAAAGAAAGCTTTATTGGAACACAACCACGCATTTCCCTCTGGCCTGTGTCTGCTTTCTCACTACAATGGCAGAGTGGAGCCATCGCAACAGAGGCCATCTGACTACAAAGCCTAGAGTATTTGCTACCCAGCCCTTCATGGAAGAAAATTTGTTAAGCCCTGTTGTGTATCAAGAGTCCCTCTTTTCTGTTCTTAATGCTTTTGGTAATAGATCCTTATTGTAAAAAGTAGAAAAAAGTAGGGTTGGATCGGGAACTATGGAAAAAAAGGAAAAAAAAAGAGTTTTCATTTCTTTATCTATTCAGAATAGGAAGTATTCTAGAGAGTTTATAAATGTCACCTCATTAGATTCTCAAAAAGATGCTATGAGATCTTTTTCAGAATTTAAGTCTTATGCTGTAAGCAAGAAAAATGAGTCTCAGATAAGATCTAAGTTGCTTAAGTTTATGTCACTGACAATTAGAGCAAGGGTCTACACCTAGCCCTCCCCATTCTAAAAGTCTCTGTTCTTTCTTCTACATTATGTGACTGTTACCTTCCAATTAAAAAAAAATGTGACTACCTTCTCCTAAACCGAAATAACTCAAATTCTAAAAATAACATTTGGTACCAAATCATATTAAATAAATAGTTGACTATAGGCAAAAATTGTCTCATTCTTGGTACCATCTTGGTGTCCATTTGTACAAGTGGGTGAGTTGGATTACAGAAGATGAAGATGGTCTATTTCTTGTGGGTAATTAGCATTTTGCATTATTGGAAAAACTTAATGGCTCAGCAACAGGAAGATGGAAGTCCTGTGTGGATACCCACATAATTAATTGCACAGATACCATCTAGATGTGTTTAATCAACAATCCTCATCTCCAAGGGTTGCTAAAATTCCCTAAATCAGTAGTTAACAAAGTGGCCTAATCATCCGAATCACTCCTGATATTCTTTAGAATACAGGTTCCCAGGACTCTTCTCTGACTAGCTAAGTCAGTTATCTGGGCTTAGGTTTGGGAATCTGTAGTTTTATTTTATTTTTTAACCTCCACAGGTAACTCTGATGGTTAGCCAGCTTTGGAAACCATTTCAGAATGTATTGAGAAAATCACTACAATTTAATTCTCAAAGAGAAACTCAGCCAGAGCAAATAAGAAGTCAATGTGGACATCACGATGGAACTTGAAGGAGCCTAACCAGCGACAGCCACCGGATTCAGATTCTTGAGATGAGAAATGGTGACTTAGACTATAATACAATATTCTTTCAAAAGCCATTAAAATTAGAGGTGAAAAAAGGAAGTTTCATGAAATTACCTCGGGCAGGATCTTTCTGCCTCTACCAGATTAACAGAGCAAGCACAATTCACAGCTGACATCTCAAGAAATTTCATTAACCATTCATTTAAATCGTAAGTGGATAAGCTGCGATTAAATAAGCATTTTATATCCAAGTAAGATTCGCCCTAATGAGCAAGTCTAAATCCTGTTTTCAAGATCAAAATTGCCTTTTGTGACAAGGCCTCTTTTCCAGGGTGTCCTTCCAAGGGAGGAGCACTTCAGACCCAGGGCAAATGTGCCCAACAGATGAAGACAGCAAGTCCTGTGATCCGTTAAAAGTCACTGGAGGAAACGGAGCTCCTTTAGAAAGGTAGGTTTGATTTCAAGAAAATAAAGACCTTTGATCACCCAGTCCAGCGCTCTTCCTACAGAGGGCAGCAGAGAGCCCAGCCTGAGTTTCCCACCACGGTCCATTCTGCAGCCTTGTTTTTTTACTTATTGGCTAAGCACCTGTATGGCCTCCTGACCAGACTGGAAGCAAAGGCAGGTCCACCAAAGGCAGGACCCAGGGGGAACTTCTGGCGTCACCAACATCTCCTATGTAGTTCTGTTTGGATGCCTACAACAGATGTTGGTGATGTTGTTAGGTCATTAAGTCCACCAGTTAACTCAGAGAATGTAGAAGTTCAAAAGCAAGCAATCCTCTCCAAAAATTGAGCATTTGATTCTTTGCCTTAGTTAATGTGGGGTAGGTCCTTTTCTGTAGGAGGAATAAATACAAAAATCTATACACAGATTCGCACCTTGTATCAATTTATTAATACATACATTTATTTGTTTAGCAAACACAGCAAGGCTGAGATTGTAGCTCATTGGTAGAACACATTGCCTGCAGTGTGCAAGTCCTTGGATTTAATCCCCAGCAACACACACACACACACACACACACACACACACACACACACACACACAAACCTTTCAATAGATATACAACCACACGTAAGAAAATCCAGTAAAGTATGAACTCATCAGAGTGTTTAAATAAGTCAAAATT